AACCGTCTGTGATTCTGTCTGACCGTAGTAATTACCTTCTGATTCAAGCAAGGGTCATGTTACTGAGTTGCTACCCTGTGTCAGATCTAGATGAGTTTTGCTGTTGATTTGCATACTTAATCTAGCTTGGTGTTATCTAATTACGTCCATCACGTTATACCAAAATGTGATTATGGCCAGGACGTATTAAGGTGTATTCGAATTGTTACTACTCTGTATTGCATGTATGCAGTTCAGTTTTATTGCTGATAGTTATTAATTGGGTAAAGAAGAAAGCAAGTTAAACACACGCTCTTACACAATTTTTAGTGTTAAAATATTTCAAACATCAAAAGTAAGATAATTTCTAATAATATTCTTATTTAATGGAAAATTCATAAACTACAATAGAGTGAATTTAGGTCAGGGTACAGCGTCAGTGAATTAGAGACGATATAAATTATGTATCGAAAACCTAAACTTGTTGTTGCGTGCGACCACTGTATGTATTCGATGTAATACATACACTGACTTGGACACATTACTCGCGCTTCCTTCTCACCATACCTACGCATGCATGCTTGTCAGTTAAGGGTACTCTTGATTTGGCCCATCTTCAATTTATCGTCAAAAATTTTTTTGTCACTTTCCCCCATTCAATCTATCTACATGACCAAACCACTGAACTATTTCATTTTTAATCCTGGTCACAACATCGTCTTGCAGACCACACTTTTCTATATCATAGAAAAATTTCGATGTCAAAGTCAATAAAATTCAAGGTGTTTAAATAAAACTAATTTTAAGAATTTTATCGCGTATATTAACTTATTTTATATTCCCGACGTTTCAAGCACTTTACAGCACCAATGGTTACGGGGTGGACCGAGGTGTATGACGTCCCAATGTCATAGTTTTTTTTTTTGGAGTTTATGGCCTGGTATCTAGACCTTTAGGCCAAGTCTTAAGTATTTTTATTCGGTTTATTGTAATTTCCCCACTCCTTCATAGTATACTGCTTCACAATATGTTGATGCGTCACATTGTGCAGTTCTTGGGAGATTTTGGCGGCAACTTGATCCAGCAGACAGCTGATAGTTGGCGATGGTATCTAAAGGTGCCTATGCAAACAAACAGCTTATCTTGAGAATCCATCACCATCAGAGCACTTGTTTCACTGTTTCCACTAATAGTTCACATGCGTAGACACTTAATACACAAAATCGCAACACTTTTACATATCAAAGTCCACTTCAAACCATTATTTAAACAATAATACAGGAGCAGCAAACCGCCGCCGGTCAATTTCCCGCCAAAACTCCAATGTCATAGTTAACCACGGCTACCTCCAGATTAAAAATTATAAATTTTTGTTCCGATCTACGCAGTATGAACTTACAGTATCTTGCAGTTGTATGCTTGGGTTGGGATTTAATTTTATTAATTATGGGATCTCAAGCAGATGGTAAAAACGAATAGAAACGAAACGAAACGAAACGTCGGGAATATAAAATAAGTTAATATACGCGATAAAATTCGTAAAATTAGTTTTATTTAAATGTGTAGTTTTGGCGAAAATATAAGAAATCATGAAAATTTAAGGTGGTTTTGACTTATTTTAAGCTCTTACGAAAATGTAACACCGATTCAAATAGCTAGACTTCTATAGCAAATCGCCATCTGCGCAGGACAGGGTTATAGTGCCCAAGTGTATGCGCAAGCTCAGATGCACTCTCTACTCTCTCACTCTCCTAATACGATAGGACGACAATTCGACACGAACTGAGAGTAATTGGTCGCAGTAACAGCAACTTTACGTGTTACGAGAATTTCTTGCAAAATAAACTAGATAATTTCTTGCTTGCAAAATAAATTTATTCGTGGTAGAACTATGCTGCAGCTATATTAGTAGTATAGTTGTAGCACGAATGGGTCGGCTCGACCGGGGAAGGACCACGCTCTCACAGAATACCAGCGTAAAATAGCAGCTTAATGCTGCTGTGTTTCGTATGGTGAGTGTAGAGAACCGGAGACCCATTTTACTGGAAAAGAGGCATTCCATCTTAGTCCTCATGGGTGATCATTTTTTTTAATAGAGTAGGTTTGACAACCTATTCTATTAAAAAAAATTGACTTGGCACGACCCGCGTGATACAAATCCGCGACCGCAATATCTGCAGTCGCGCTTACGATCAATATATGAAACGATGCAGTCGAGGCAAACAAGTTGAAATTTTTAATTATACGACGTTAATTGATTACTTTTTATATTATATAGGGTTATTTTGCAATAACCGGCCAAATTTGCAGAGAAGGTTCTAACTAAGTAATATAGGCAAATGGTGAAGACAAGTTTATTGAAATAAATCTCAAACTTTCTGTCCTTTTTATCTTTTAAATTCAAAATGGCGTGGTAATGCATTATTTTAACTGATTTTACTCCGCACGAACACATTCGTTAGGGTCGATCAGTAGTCAAAAACGTTGTTGCCCATAAATCACATTCACTTTGGGATAATTTCAAATAAAAGTAGAAGCCTAATTTACTCGTATTTTCAAAAACTACAATAACGATATATCACTATTTATATATTTGGACTTAAGTTATAAATTTGGCTACTCTTTGAAAAATAACCATGTATAATTCTTCCTTAAAATAACAGTCTACAAATATCTCACTTTTGGCCACAGGCCTTCTCGCATTTCTGAGAGGAATTTTAGAGAAACAAAAAATCCGTCTAGCTGCTATTGGCGGAATTTTCATAGAATAAGGGTGACAGAATAGAATAGAATATTTTTTATTCAATATACATTACATGTGGAATTCTTATTGAAAGTCATTTTTTACTTTACCACTGGTTCGAAAAAAACCCTCTGTCCTGGGAAGAATCAGCAAGAAACCCAGCGGGACTTTTTTTTTAAATAAATTTTACAATATAAATGATTACGAACTATTTACAAAATTTATTTTAGAAACTGCTTGGAAGCGATCACCTCATTCCCAGGGGTTATTACAAACGAGCACACTGGCCACCTAAAAGTAAATGGATGCCGAGACACTTATTTCTATATCACATAGGCTTTAACGGCTCGATTCATTGGCGCTGCGAAGATCCCTTTGCATTTTTTTTCGCATTTACCACGGGGAGTGCTCTGAGGAATTGTTTGGATTAATCCCAGCCGCCAAACTTCACGAATGCACATCGCGGCAGAACTCCCGATACCATCCACACCATCTGGATGATTGGCACTCCACCACACGGCGGCACATAACATAAACACAAGCATAAGAATAGCGAAGTACAGAAATATAATAAGATATATATAATATAATAGAATCGATTACCACTGAGGTTTTTTCCGGACCGGAACGACTTAGGAACCTTCAAGAAAAGAGCGTAATCCTTTTTAAAAGGCTGGCAACGCATATGCAGTTCCCCTGGTTCCCCTGGTGTTGCAGTTATTCATGGGCGGCGGTAGTCACTTACCATCAGGTGAATCGCATGCTCGTTGCCCCCTCTACTATAAAAAAAACGGCTAGACAGGGGAAAAAACCACGCCCTCACAGAATACCAGCGTAAAATAGCAGTTTAATGCTGCTGTGTTTCGTGTGGACGTATGTTACTGGAAACGACGCATTTCATCTTAGTCCTCAGATTTGAGAACACATACTGCATTTTGATTAAATAACAAATAGATGTAAATGTTTATAGGCCACAACATACATTTGCCATCAGATGAACTCTTTGCTCGTTTGTCACCCTTATTCTATAAAAAGACACGGAAAAGGCAAAGAGATATCTTCGAAACAATCCAGTTACATTGTATACGAATATATATATCCAGCAAATTACTAAATACGTGCCCTGGAAACATCCATCCAGGCAGAAACTCGTTCGTGTATTGTTTATTTCGCACTTCGATATAACTAAGTATTTTTGCTGTTTTCTTTGAATCGCTGCCAACTCTCCTTTAAACTTCGGAGAGTGCCATGATTCGGGTTCCTTAAATCAGTAAACCTAAATGTAGGTCATGATACCTCGATACATATATCACCGTCCCTTTTTAACATGCACCTTGGTGACAACGGTGCTCTTCTTGAAATGTTTTCGACCAGAAATGTCAGGTAATTAAACGTATAATGGATTTCTTATTGCTAGTAAATGTCCACTTTAAAATGCGAATGACGTACAAGTTTACGTTTTTATGTATAATAAAGTTCACAATTTCAATGTTTTTAGATTAATTTTGAAATACATGCTGTCTGAAAAGATTTATGCAAAGAAAACTAGTGGGTCTCATAGATCAGGGCTAGCAATAAATTTCATATTAAACCAGTAATTTGAACTTTATTTCTAGTGATGACATTTATTAAATAAAGTTAGTAAAAATTACCCCGCGTATCTCCCTCGATAGAAAAAAATGATGTTTCCTACCTAGTTTGAAGCGCACCTCCCGCCCTCCCTCAATTTCATGCACTATCGCTGTCACCACTAATCCCAGCACCACTACTCCCAACACCACTACACTAGGAAAGACACACCACTGACGACAATACGACACGTGTTTCGCCTCTACACGAGGCATCTTCAGGTTATGTAGATTCTGCGGTGGCTGACCGCTAAGTCACATTTATTAAAGGCAATATTTAATGGTATCAGGTAATAGGACACATCTTCTGTCGAGGAGTCCGTCTGGGAAGGTACCATGCTCTTACCTATTTCTGCCGCTAAACAGCAGTGCACTGCAGCGGTCTATAAGGTATAGACAGCTGTATAATTACAGGCTGTAAGACATTCCATGTCCTTATTCTATAAAGAAATTAAGTGTGTCGTAAATGTTGTCTGGCGAAGAGTCTCTCCGGTAATCAATTTAAAAATGATGTGTTAACATATTTAGGATATCAATCTGGTGGAGAACTGTTAAATAAGTGTTTTGTTTTTAATGTTATTTCATTGTTATCTATTTTGTTGTCCTTATAATAAATTAATTAATTAAAATGTTATCTCTTGTACTTGTAGACTCAACTGGCAGCGTGTTTGGCGTACCGCTAACACAATGCGTGGAGATGGAAAAGGCGCTGCGGCGGCAACAACACGGGGGCTCCCGGGTGTCACTCGCCTCACTCAGTGCCTTGGAGAAAGGGGACGACGTGAGTTGAAATAATATTATAGTGATTAACATAATTGATGAAGAAATAGAAATAGAAACTAAAATGCCATAAAAACTTTCTATATAGCTTTATAACAGATATTTATTATTCATTGAGAATAATATAGTATTAGTTTTTTTTTTATAATTATTTAAAGGTGTCAAAAATTAATTTGCTCAGTTCCGCGCAATAAAACATAATTATGTGTCTCACTTAGTTTGAAGAGCACCTCCCTCCCTCCCTCAATTGCGTGCACTATCCCCGTCACCACTACTCCCAACACCACTACACTAGGAAAGACACACCACTCTCGATAACACGACACGTGTTTCGCCCCTATACGAGGCATCCTTAGGTGAAGTAGACTGACGGTGGCTGACAGCTATGATAAGTGAAACTTGAAAGTTTCACTTAGCTTTATTTATTTATTTATATAATTTGCATGCCACAAGAAATACATCGTACATCAAGTGACGCCCCGTAGGGGCATAGCAATTTATAAGAGGGTAGTTTTTTTTATTTTATTATAATAAATAGTAACTACTACGTACTAAATACCAACTAACTTATTTCTTAACATATACTAGTCTAACATATAATTTTTTTTATAATTATTACACATACATTTACTATTTATTCGCATCTATGAAGAATTCACTCAAATTATAATAACTTTTATCGATTAAGAATGACTCTAATTTTTTTTTATAAAAGACTTGATGTTGGCAATATTTTTGAGGTTATTTGGAACATTATTATATATTTTAATTACCACTTTCACAGCTTCTTCTTTCACACATAATTTTATTTTGCTCGGAACTGGGCAAATTAATTTTTGACACCTTTAATATAATCGATGTTCCAGTAGTACCAGTTACCCCACCGAGTCAGTAATTCATTATTGGGGCGATGTATATGCTTTTGCAACGAAATCCCAGAAAATATATAAAATTTAACCTGCTCAAAGGTCAAAAACTTTATTAAAGAAAGTTTGTATAAAAAGGATAACCCCTTTTTATATAATATTATAAGGAATTTATGAATGATAATAACACCTGGGTATGAGGTGATCGCTACCAAGCTATTTCTAATTTGTTTTGTGTGGTTAATTGTGATTACATGATTGTAAGCTGTTATTTTTAAAAAAACGTTCCGCTGGGTTTCTTGCTGGTTCTTCCAAGGACAGAGGTTTTCTTTCGAACGTAGTTAAACAAAAGAGTGATTTTTAATAAGTATTATTTATAATCTATGTTGAATAAAAAAGTTTCTGTTTCTGTTTTTGTTTTGCAAACTAGTGCCTGATTCTATTAATTACTTACTTATTTTTTATATACACGGTTTTATTTCATTTTTAGTATGTTTTATTAGTAGTTATTTCAGCACACTCTATTAGTGAGCTCATAGGCCATACCGTCGCTACGACAACACCAGCATTCTTCTCCTAAAGTATCTAGAATTCAAAATTCTAAAAGCACTTTCCAGCCATAACTATATACTTGTTGTGTAATATAATGCAAAGAAAATTAATAGTCTAAGAGATCTACCGATTGGCATTGAATGAAAGATTGATTACAAAACTTTCAGAAATATTTCAACATGCTATTTTATTAATGCTTCAATACGGAGAAATGTTCTTGGTTTGCTTGTTTGAAAAATTAGTTTTAAGTGTCTGTCAGCGGATGAAATAGTTCAGCACGATTTATATTTCTAGACTTAGTTCATAGTGGACTTGAGTTTGAATGCAAGATCTTAGATATGAAACTAAGAAATAATATCGCAGTTATAAGGTATCAGAAATGACTTATATTTTTTGTTGTAATGAGGAAGATGCTGCTGAATATCTCCTGGTTTTCCTCTGCCACCTCTTACGACACCCACAGCACGATATGGAGTATATATTTTAAAACCGCTACTACACAGTAGGCTGCCACAGAATCCTGCGTGAACTAGCAGCATAATTCTAATATGTTTTTACTGATAACTAGTACTTGCATCTTAGTTGTGCGTTTTGTTATAATGTACATATCTATTTTTCAAAGCCATAATCAATTTTTTTTATTCAATTTAGACTTGTTTATAACTCCTTCTTAGTCGTCAGGAATGACAACGTATCTGTGTTTTGATTTTTAAGTCATAGATAGATGTAGATGTTTATGGGCCACAGTATTTAATTACCATCAGGTGGGCAATGTGCTCTTTTGTCAACGTAATGTAATATATAAAAATTAATGTTATTATTATTATTATTATTACTTATTGCTTGCGGTTGTGTGAAGGTTATAGTTATAGTACAATTAACATACAGTAGATGGCGCGCGTATACTATACTACCTACAAATTTATTTGAAAAAATTTTAAACCATATATCCACAATTGTTTCTTCGGCGGTAAAAAACGATTATTTTTTTTTTTTCATTTTCGTATCCGATTAGACAATGTATGCACTTGACATCAGGTGGACAGTGTGCTCGTTTGTCACCCTTACCTGTATAAAAAATTCTTAAAGCTTCGTTTGGAATATTTTCTGATATCCAAACGCTGCAATGTGATTTTCTGCTGGCACGAACTAAACTGAAACATCAAAATAGTTCGTGCGTTTGCAGCCAAGACACGTAACGTGACAGATCGAGACGGCAGTTCCACACACCCGAACGCAATCACCGATTGAACCTATATTCTAAGACATTAATCTTACACATAATAACATAGTAGAGTCACAGTAGAGTACATTGTTGTTACGAGCTTCGGGTTCGAGACAATTAAAAACTGCCGATTGAAATACCAAAATGGACACTTTAATTACAGAACACTAATTACAACTTAAAACCACACTAATAACAAAACACAATTGTACTACTGATCACTAGTTCGCAGTTTTAACGCTTCGAAGTATTCGCTTGTATCGCCAATTCAATACTGACTCGGTCGCGGTCTATACCGGCCTTATATAGGGCCTCAGGTAGTTTCCAAAACCTTTTACTATAGAAACTTCTAGAATGTTCGAGTACATATCGGTCCCGATTGACTAGATGTCGATAGTTCTAGAAAGTTCTTCCATGGAAATTTTTAGAATGTTCTTGACTCTCCTAGTTCTGCCACTCGATACTAGAGGGCGCTAGTGGTAACTAGTGTCGCCATGTACCATGTATTAACATTATGGTGGCAGCACGAAACATTACCGGCCCTGCACTTAATGTACTGACGACCTGGTAATACTAGGTAGCTCAGGAACGTGCTTTATAACATTACTTGGAAGAGGTATATCTTCAGCAGTGGACTTGTGAATGGCTGTAATTATGATGACGATGTCTATGCTAAATGCATATTTCATTGACTATTTCTTTTTTAATAGAATCAGGCGTTACTTTGCGGAAATCCGTTATAATGAAGTTGTTATTACTTAATTTGTTTAATTCCGCATAAAGGAATAAAAGGATGTGTGACTTTCAATGTAAAGAGTATTTTACTTTTTATGTAGTGTCTGCAGAGGTTGGCCACTTAGCGGGCAAAGTCTACTTTAGCTGAGGATGCCCCGTTTAGGGGCGAACCACATGTCGTATTATTGAAACTGGTGTGTCGTTCCCAGTGTGGTGGTTTTGGGAGTGGTAGTGCAGTGAGTGGTGGTGCTAGGACTGGTGATAACGGGGCTAGTGCACGCAATTGAGGGAGGGTGGGGCGTGCTGTTCAAACTGGGCAGGACACATCATTTAATTTCATCATTCATCATCATTACAGCCCTTCACAAGTCCACTGCTGAACATAGGCCTCCCCCAAAGAATGCCACAAAGCACGGTCCTGAGCCACCTGCATCCATCGACTTCCTGCATATCTTACCAGGTCGTCACTCCATCTAGTGGGGGGACGCCCTACACTTCGCCTGCCGGTACGAGGCTGCCACTCGAGAACCTTTCTTACCCATCGGTTGTCGGTTCTTCGAGCTATATGGCCGGCCCATTGCCACTTCAGCTTACTAATCCGTTGGGCTATGTCGGTCACTCTAGTTCTACTGCGGATATCCTCATTTCTGAGTTTATCACGCAGAGAAACTCCGAGCATAGCCATCTCCATAGCTCGCTGAGCGACCTTGAGCTTCCTCATCCGGCCAGCAGTGAAGGACCACGTCTCAGTTCCGTATGTCATCACTGGCAACACGCACTGGGTGTACAGTCTCGTTTTCAAGTTTTGAGGTATACCTGACGAGAAGATGTGCCGTAATTTCCCGAACGCTGCCCAACCGAGTTGAATCCGTCGATTGACCTCTCGGTCGAAGTTGGACTTACCTAGTCGGACTATTTGTCCCAGGTAAACATACTCGTCAACAACTTCGAGCTTAGTGTTCCCAACAACTACCGGCATAGGTGTGACATGGACATTAAACATGATCTTTGTTTTGTCCATGTTCATCTTAAGACCTATCCGTTGGGAAACACTATTGAGGTCATTGAGCATAGTGCTTAGGTCCTCCAGCGATTCTGCCATAAGGACTATATCGTCGGCAAATCGAAGGTGAGTGATGTACTCGCCATTAATGTTGATACCGTATCCTTTCCAGTCCAGAAGCTTGAAAACATCTTCCAATGCAGCGGTAAAGAGTTTCGGGGATATGACGTCACCTTGTCTTACACCTCTCTGCAATTGGATAGGTTTCGTACTCTGGTTCTGTACTCGGATAGCCATCGTAGCCCTACTGTACAAGCACTTCAACACTTCGATATACCGACAGTCAACTTGGCATCGCTGAAGGGACTGCAGCACCGCCCAAATTTCGACGGAATCAAAGGCTTTCTCATAGTCCACATACGCCAGACATAGTGGCAAATTGTACTCCTCGGACTTCTGTACAATTTGCCGAAGGGTATGTATGTGGTCTATGGTGCTAAAGCCTTTTCGGAAACCGGCTTGTTCGGGAGGCTGGAAGTCGTCAAGTCTGCGCGCGAGACGATTCGTAATGAGTCTCGAAAACAGCACGTAGATGCGGCTCAGAAGGGAAATCGGTCTGT